TGAATTACCTGTAATGGGATTACGTAATCTGGATACAAAAATCGGTAACATGTCACATTACCGTTACATTTTAAAAATGGAGGGATTACAAGCAGGATTACATTGTTTCTAAAAAAACTAAAAAGAGCATTTAGTGTTTGCTGTAAATCAGATCAGATTTCTTCTTTGTAAACTGTACTGTTCTGTAGGCTAATACTTTAAGTGTGAATCTATACGTACTGCCTGAATCTGCTTTATGGTTTTCTTTGGTTCATTTGTTCTTTTTTTTATTCAGTAGGTTAACATATGTTCATGAAATAGTGTCTGTGAGCTTAACTGGATTTGTTAAACTAAAATGGGGAATTTTCTGTCAGCTCAGATTTTATTTCTGCTTTTTTAATATATAAAATAGAATCTCTGAGCAGAGGAGACATTACTAATACTTAATATATGGGTTTGTTCTTTTGCTAAGGTTACATTGCTGTTTTACGTATTACACTTAAAGGGGACCTATCATGCAAAATGCACTTTTTGATGTCTTTTATACATAAATATGTGTCCCCGGTGTGTCAGGGAACTCACGCAGCGTCAGAAAATAAAACCCTCTCTCTTTTCCTCCATACCCAAATCTCTAAAACGGGGGTACAACGGAGCTGATCCAAATTTGCGGTGATTTGACGTCATATCGGCGGCGGACCCACAGCACTATCAGAAACGTTGCTATCAGAAACAATGCCCGACTGTTTTGGACGTAATATGGTCGGTGTTTACATTAGCATCGCTAACACTCAGAGCTAACCTGGACTGGAGAGAGCATGTGTGTGAAGAAGCAGGAAATAAAAAGGAACTCACCTTGTGGTATAACCGGCAAGAGAGAAAGCCTTTGAGCTCCATACTGTTTCAGAAATAATCCTTGATAATCCATGATATGGCGTTTCATCACTGCAGAATCTGCCGGTAGAATCTCCCGCATGAGCAGGCATAAGCTCCGCCCCTCTTTTTTTTTTTTTTTTTTTTTTTTTTTTTTATAAAGCTTTATACATCAAATCAGCACTTTTGAAACAGGAAGTGAAATAGAGGGATATGAGGCATGGCTAGAATGGGTGATCTGTTTGGTATTTTGAGCAAAACACTTCATAGACATGTTTTTTATATATTTGTATATATCTGAGACCTATGCTATTGCCTAAAAATAGCATGATAGGTGACCTTTAAAGGTGGGGTAGGTAATTTTGGAGAAACCAGCTCGAGTGCGCTAGAATTTGAAAATACACAGCCGGAAGAAATCTGCTACTTCCTTACAGAGCCCCTCCTCCAACACACACGAACATGCACATGACCAATGAGGGCACGAGATAAGTTTGTGCACAAATGGAAGGCTGACAGGCAGGTAGGCCATCCAATCATTTTAGCCGGCTCGGCTAAAATGATTGGTCGTGCTTTTTACAGTACTATGGCTTCCACAGATGACATTTTTTTATGGATTCTTTGTCAAAGCACTTAAGATATTCATTGCTATCGGGATGTTAAGAGCATTCCATGGAATATAACAAAAAGTGTATCTCGAGCCGGTTTCTCAAACTTACCTACCCCACCTTTAAGTAAAACATGTTTTATTGATATTTATTTATTCTTGTATTTAGTTAATCCAAACGTAACGGACAGTATCAGGTTGCATTACTTTTATATTTTGATACCTACATTAATTTACTGATTACATTTTACAGATAACTAGTAATTGTAAGAGAATACTGTACATTGACATTAGTAAGTAACTCTCCCAACCATATATCTTTATAATAAAAATATTGTCAACTAAACACACGTAAAAGGAAAACAGAATAAAATAATAAAATGAAATTCTGCACAGTGGAATAAAATACTGTGTATGATTTTAATGTAACAGCATTATTATGTTTTCAATAATCTAGCCTCACACATATCACCGCACTGTGCTGTGGTTACTTTTAAATGTGTCACTCCTCTAATTTCTAAATCATAATTGAACCTAGCTCATGACTATTACCTCTAAATTATATGGTAGATTTTCGAGATCCAGATTATTGAGCAATTGTTGGATCATTCGTTTGTTTTCTCAAGGAAAATGAGTAGTGACCTCGATGTTGTTCTTACAAAGCAGAAACATGGACGCAGCCATGTTCCTTCTTTGTAAGAGCAACATCGAGGTCACTACCGCAGCGGACCAACACTAAAACATTTTGTCCCAGGAGTTTTCCTCCCGAGGTGGACGACCAGATACAGGCTCAGACACATGGACATTTTGATTAATCTACTTAACATTGAATTATTGCTGTTCATGCAGACATACTAGCATTGTGTCTCAGTAGAGGTCAAGTAAATACTGTCCATACTTCAGGATGCTGGCGCAGTAGCAAAGAAAGTACAAGGCTTTTTTGTAGGATGATTTTTTTTTTTTTAAATGGCCAACATTTTTTTGATATTCTTTTTTATTACATTTTGGATATTATTATGCGCTTTCACACCGGAGTACTTTTCCCCGTACTTTTCCCTTTTAGTTCAGATAGTTCCTGGGATTTTGCGTTCACACCAAAAAGAGAACTTAGTTCATGAGAACTTTTCCCCCCTATTCAGTCCCTGCTAGAGAGGTACTTTCCTGGGGAGAAAAAAGTGGAGCATGCTCATGAACTGTGAACTCGCCGGAGCCTCGCAGCTGAGAAGCTGGGCTACTCTTCACGCTAACGAAGGATCACTTCTTCTGCTACTGTTCCGCAGCAGCTGCCTCTCTGTTGGGCTCCGGTACTGCACATTACTCATGAGACGTTAAAGTGCTTTACGTGAAACATTCGGGGCTTGAGCCCAAGTAGCCACCCCCTAGCGCCGCCACTGGGCTTCAGTAGAAGCCAGTCCCCAACTCCGGGGACTTCCGGCCGGGGACTTCGGGTGGCAGTATACGCCGTCAAGTTGTTTGCGGCCTGCCAGTAAACCCAAAGCAGAAGAAGAAGAAGTGACGTCAGCTGCTTCATTTGCGTAATCTTCCCTCAGGGACTTATTCCGGTGTGAACGCGATTTGTACTTTAGTTCCATGGGGGAACTAAGTGCTGGGAACTAAGTGCTGGGAACTAAGTACGGCAAAGTACTTGGTGTGAAAGCGGTTATTATTACAGGCTAAAATACTTTAGAAAATGTACGCAGGGGTCCACCAAGCCGACACCAGTCATCTCACTGTACCCCATAAAAATGAATGTATTGGATTAAAATATGATTTGTTAGGTGAAAGATGTATATGATTAAATCTAAAGAAATCAATGAGTGCCAATTGTTAAGTGTTAAGATTATTCAGTTTGTAGGTCATTATAAAAAACTGTGATTATTGTTAAAAAACATGCCTACAACTTTAATTATGCACTGCTACAAAGTTATTATGATGTAAATTAGGTATAAAATATTGCATTGGCGTCATAGAAAATGCTACTTATGTAAATAAATGTCAACACTTAATACAAATCATAATTAATCCAGGTGAACCCACTACAAACTCTCCAGACTTTTTTACCATCTGTTGTCTGGACTCCCTATACTTTACTTAATGGCTGTTTCAGGTTTCAGTTCTAACCTCACAATGACTGTCTCGCTATATAAAGCGGCTACATGGAAAACTCAGTGAAGGCCTTGGATTGCCATTGGACGTCATGTATATCCATTGGTGGAATGGCGGACTCGGCCTCTTACAATGCAGACTTCTGTATAGAGAAATAAACTAATGAGATACCAATAATTAAGAGGACATACAGTATCTTCATTATTCAGGTTCATATTAGTATTATGTGCCTCTACTGTGACATGTCTCCATGCTATAATGTTCAAAAAGCTCTTTATTTTCCTCATACTGCCTGTGCTGCAGCTCCTCTTTTCACCCTCTTTCTGAAACCAGAGCCCAGACTGCTCTGATTGGCCTGTTCTGTTGTGATTGGTCAACCACTTAGAAATGTCCCGCCCCTTAGCCTATCACGTGCAATGTGTTGGAGCGCTAGCCAATAGAAGCCAGGTGTTACAAAGTGATGTCATTATGTTACAAAGGTAACAGACCATTTACATGCACAAAAACCTATATAACACACTACAGGAAATGGGAGACCCCAAAGAGCATAATAGGGCCTCTTTAAGGATTATTAGGTTTTAACATGTTTTTGTCATTTTTACAGCTTGTATGTTAAAAAAGTTATTTTGATTTAAATTAAAGCAACATGATGTCACAACAGGTGAATGTTGGTATTTGCACAGGAGCTAAAAGAGTATATATTGGTCAGTTTCTTTTATTTCCGAGAGCTTCACAAAAATGCAAGGGCTGCAAGTTTATGTAGTGTGTACCTATACGTGAATTTCCACTTTAACTTATATTATGTAGCTTTAAGTGACAAAAAACAAGTTCTGGTATGAGTTATGGGCCTTTGTGGAATATTCTGCTCATGCACAAGAAATGGCAAAAAAATGTTTAAATTAAAAATATAATAACATAACAACAAAGTGAATGTGAGAGGCTTAAGAGACGGGTAGGACACCTTGCTGTTTCGCGCTTTTTTATTATTACATCCACTCCTGAACAGCTCCCTACCTACCTAGTAAGCAGTTTACTGAAAACATTCAGTCTTCTCAAGTGATCAAAAACCGTGTGACATTTTGTTCAGCTTATTCTCTCTTGTTGTGGGTGTGCACCTACTGTGTGAATGTGTGTCCTGGAAGTGGGTGATACATGCCTTCTGTTGCTCTCCTCCTCTATCTGTTGACAAGTTCTCTTAACTGTGTTGTATTTCCAGCGTGGGTATTAAAAAATGAGTAATTTGGCGAGCTCTCTGAAATCTTCTCAGACTGAGATGGAGGCTGACAATGACAGGATGCCATCTTCTGTTTATGTGGGATAGTTCCTCTTTAAAACAAACACTCAGGATTATGTTGTCCTGTGCTCCTGAATTAGTTTTCCACACTTATTCAGTATTCTCTTTCTCTTTTTCACTCAGTGTTTGTTCTAATTCACCCCGCAGGGTTTCTGAGCACAGGGGACCAGTCTGCTAAGGGGAACTATGGCTTGTTGGACCAGATCCAGGCCCTGCGCTGGCTCAATGAAAACATTGGCCACTTCGGAGGGGACCCAGAGAGAATCACCATCTTTGGCTCGGGAGCCGGGGCCGCCTGTGTGAACCTCCTCATCCTCTCCCACCACTCCGAAGGTAAGGCTCTTTTTTCTCTGTCATTGTCACATTAGCAGTCATATACCCTGCTAGAAAAGGGATTAACATTTCAGAGCAGTGTGGGTAGTGTATTTCTTCAAGGAGCTTGTTAGTCATTTTAATGAATACCCTATAGAAAATAATACATATATATATATATATATGTTATTCCCCAAAGTGAAGGGATGCAATCTTCAGAGATGAGGCGCACACTATATGCAGTGATATTCTTTTCAATAAACATGCAGAATTGCACACATTGAGTCATTTTAAAGCAAATCAGATTGCCAATCTGGACCGTGATGGCAGATGGAGGAAAACAGTAGGATAGTTGCCATAAATCATTACTCACCTAGGGATACAAGCCCTGTGATAATCCCAAACAACGTCATTCCACGAGGCTCTAGAATCTCTGTGTACTGTCCGTCTCCATTCAAACTAATCCTGTCTAGCTAAGGCATAAGAAGTCCACAGGTATATATATTACTTACTTTTATATCATTTACTTGGACTTTCAATGACGACCATTATAACCACTTCCCATATGTATTATTAGATATATAGTCAGCATAATATTTTGCATCATTAGTGAATTTTATATCTTTACATGGCTTGAACTGCTGATCAACCTTATTTCTTCTCTTTTCCAGCATTTTAAATTTAGACTGGCACGAGAGAGCAGACACCTCTAACAGGCAATGGTGCATTTTCATGCTCATATTTTATGTATACATTTTTTTACAGTAAAAAAGGAAAGGTCTTGAACAGTCCTTGAGCCTCTAACCTGGAAACCATTGCAGTACTTATTACGGACCCTACTATACTTTTGGCTGATCTTTGTAGGACCCACCAAAGGTTTGATCCTTAATTCTCTGAAGGTGAACGGCACTTTATACTTGACCTAATACTCAGAGTATGTTATTGGTGAATTGCTCACCTTCCATCTGACAAACTGACCTTGAACAGATACAAGAAAAAAAATGTGCCTGTACATTTTAATTGGATTCTCAATGTGTGCATGGTAAGTGTGTGCACGTGAATGCAAAATCTTTCCGTCTATCTGAAGTTTGAAAACATTAAGGAGGAAATAATCACTTTAAAATGCCTATATCTTGTTTTAATACTAAATATGCACAAGAATTTGCTAGGTTTTGCTTCTTTTGTTTATCATGGAAAATGTGTTTTGTTCATGTGAGCTTGGAATGGGGAATTGCCTTTTGTCTTTGTGTGTTAAGGTAATTAGTTATTATATAACTATAGTTAACTTTATATTCTTAAACACACTTTATTCTGGTTTAATTTCATAATTTAACACACAACCTTCAGTAGCAGAGAGAAAGTGAAAACAGCACGCCTGTGTACTGAAACAAGAATCTGTTTTAATCTAATCACGGGAACCCTCCAGATTTACACTCCTAATGTGAAAACTTGGTGTCATATCAAAATGTGAAGTGTGTGAGTGTGTGTGTGTGTGTGTGTGTGTGTGTGTGTGTGTGTGTGTGTGTGTGTGTGTGTGTGTGTGTGTGTGTGTGTGTGTGTGTGTGTGTGTGTGTGTGTGTGTGTGTGTGTGTGTGTGTGTGTGTGTGTGTGTGTGTGTGTGTGTGTGGAGGAGAGATGAGATGAGGGGTAGAGCTGCAGCTGAGAGGCTTCTTAATTGATTTCACAGGGAGAGGAGCGGGGGTGGGGCACATGCAGAATATGGGGGGGCTTAATTATTAATGACAGAATCTGCAGATAAAACAGAGAGACAGAAAGCCACTTTACATAACAGTGCAGCGGTGCAACAGTGCGAGCAGTTTTCTTTCTCTCACTGTCTCTCTTTTGCGCTTCATGCAACACGCGGCCATCAAACCGCTGCTGTGTTCCGAGCGGCCTCCATCTTTCCTCCCGCTGTCTCTCGCTGTCTCTCGCTGTATGTAATGGAAGCGCTCCGTTGTCCTAATGCTCGCAAAGATTTTCCATGGCTATAAAAAGCAACAGAACATCTTCTTCATCTTGCCTCCTATGTAATACTCTACAAATGCTCCTCCTTCCACATATGCATTATTAAAATCACTCACACTGGAAGGCCTTGAAGGCCCCATCAGCTGCTAGCAGAAGTATGTCAGGGGGGGGGAAATTAACCGAGAGAGGGGAAGTGATTGTATGTTTGCTATTGAGGCTATTTGTGTGTGTAGGCCTGTTCCAGAGGGCCATCGCTCAGAGTGGCTCGGCCATCTCCAGCTGGGCGGTCAACTACCGACCCATGATGTACACCAAGATCCTGGCCAAGAAGGTGGGCTGCACCCTGGGGGACATGGCTGAGCTGGTGGACTGCCTGAGGAAGAAGAGTTTCCGGGAGCTGGTGGACCAAGACATCCAGCCGGCCCGCTACCACATCGCCTTCGGACCCGTGGTGGACGGGGACGTGGTGCCCGATGACCCCGAGATCCTCATGCAGCAGGTCAGGGGTCATTGCACTGTCCGTCGGGATAACTACAATAAACAATATTAATGTCATTTTAAGACCAATGTATGCCACTGATACAATTATAGTAGATTCCTAATGCAGGTACCGGTACACCCTTTTTAAAGAGCAATGTACTTCTGATTCTGGAAATGTTCAGACATTGGAATTGGAAAACGAAAATAAGATATATTCAAATAATTGTAATATATAAAGAACCATGCAACCAAAACAATAAATTAAATGGAATTTTGGGCTCTGTGCAAAGTCCAAGTATTATCAAGTAAGGGAAAACCCAGCAGTTTATTTTAGTATCTCGATTATTATTCGTTTGGTCTAAAAAGCGTCAGAAAATGAAAAATATCTGTCCCAGTTTGTTAACGTCCTAAGGAGACGTCTTTAAATGGCTTGTTTTGTCAGTCCAAACCCCAAAGATATAAAGTTGAATTTGATATAAAAAGCTGAAAAAATGCATATTTGTTCATGTAAAAGTGACATGGAGTGAATAATCGATAATTCAAATAGTTGGAATAGTTTTTTGCTAAACAAACATGCATGGAAACACAACAGGCAATCTCAAGGTCACCAAAAATGGATTGAGATCAAGAACATATATTGAACAAAGCGATCAGGTTCATGTCAATGAATATGTCTTTATATTGCACAATAAGTCAATGACATACAAATGATTAAGCATATCGTACAAGAGGCTAAACATTTCCATTTATCTTACGGTAAGACAACAATGCAAAAATGATCGAGGTCTTGTCCACATATCTGTCCACAGATCATACGGTGACTCAATGACATAGTTATCGTGTCAGGTCTACAGGACGTTATTCAGTGAAGGATCGCGTTGTTGTCCTAGCAGTCCTTTGTTTTGTTTTTGTTGTGACACCAGGGCGAGTTCCTGAATTACGACATATTGCTGGGTGTCAACCAAGGAGAGGGACTGAAATTCGTGGACGACAGTGAAGGAGAAGACGGAATATCATCAGCTACGTTTGACTACACCATCTCCAACTTTGTGGACAATCTGTATGGATTCCCTGACGGTCAGAGCCTTCGCTGCTATTTTACCTTAAACATGTTATTACTTTAATATTCAAATCTTGCACATGTTGTTAGCCTCTACAGCAATGAGAAGTACTTCAAACTACAATGAAAAAGGCAGAGCTACATTTCTTTTCCTGCTCTATGACAGGAAGTTGAAGGCACCACTGTGGAGATGTCATAGATTTACAATAAAATGATTTAACCCTTTAATCCTGTCACCTAATGTTGCACTGCGTACATACTCACGTTCCATTTTCATTTTTTCCAAGGTAAAGACATCCTCAGGGAAACCATAAAGTTCATGTACACAGACTGGGCTGACCGGGACAACACTGACATGCGCAGGAAGACCCTCCTGGCTCTGTTCACAGACCACCAGTGGGTGGCCCCGGCCGTCGCCACTGCCAAGCTGCACGCCGAGTTCCAGTCGCCCGTCTATTTCTACACCTTCCACCACCACTGTCAGACGGAGGCCCGGCCGGAGTGGGCCGACGCTGCTCACGGAGATGAGATCCCCTATGTGTTTGGGATCCCCATGGTGGGAGCCACTGACCTGTTCCCCTGCAACTTCTCCAAGAACGATGTCATGCTCAGTGCTGTAGTCATGACCTACTGGACCAACTTCGCCAAGACAGGGTTAGTATGGTGCCAAACTAAAAAAATACTTTCTGATATTAAGTGCATTTAGTACTGCACAGTGTGTACTGTACTAACAAGCTCACATGCTTCAGGATACTCAAGTCTAATGTCTCCCTAGCCAAGTTCCCAACTGTGGGCACATTTTTAGGCTGCTAAAGGGGAATATAAAGTTGGTGTTGGGTTTTGATTTGCAGATATTCTCAATGATGTGATTATCTGTTGAGCTTTTGAAAATATTGCGGTTTAAAACATTTGGGTTGGGAGTGATAGGACATGCAACACCTGTATGGAGCTAATTTCCTTCCAAACTTAAAGGGGCCCTGTTTTGCTTTTAGGGGTTTTCCCTTTCCTGTAGTGTGATATAGAGATTTTGTGAATGGTCAACAAAGGTTCAAGTTTCTCTCCCACACACTCCCCCCCCCCCCCCCGCCAGAAACACCTCCATTAGACTCCTTAGTTTACTTCTGTAACATAATGACATAACTATGTAACACTCACTCTTCTATATGGCAAGTGCTCCAACACATTGTTTGTAATAGGCTAAGGGGCGGGACATCTTTAGGGCAGACTGGGCTCTGGTTTCAGACAGAGGGTGAAAAGAGGTGCTGCAGCACAGGCAGTATGAGAAAAATAAAGCATGTAACAATGTCACAGTTGGGGCACAAAATACAAATATGAACCTGAGAATTTGCATAATATGTCCTCTTTAACAAATAAACATGATGCAGTAGAACTGTGTTGGGTATTTGTTTGATATGTAGTTTTTTATTTGGTAATGGAGTTTTGTATTGGCAAACCACACTAGGCTTGTTAGTGAATATTAGGCCAAACATTGTTTTTTGTTTTTGAAGTTTTGGCAGTATTGGCTCCATACAACTGCTGTTTCTTTCTGCCAAATTCCAAGGGTGGTGCTCTGATAGCACATCATCTCTTGGGTTTCAGTCTATTCTGTTGCTGAATTAGCAACAGGTGTAAAAATGAATGGCCTTTTCATACCTAAACTGTTGAACGAAGACTTGGCTTTTTGTTACATTCATATACATTTGATTTGATTTTTAAATTGCAGTAATGCAAGTTCCCTTTTATCGCTACATGAGATCCCTACGCTCTGAGGTCATCATCTATGTGAGCGGCCTGCATCTCCCTATAGGCCCACTTGCAATTTAAATTACGTACACAGGCTCTCTTTTCCAATCATAGGCCTATATAAGTATACTTATGTAGACACTAGGGATGACTTGATTTATTGTATGATATTTGCCTTTTGGATTGCCTTTGACCTACAGAGACCTGCAATCGATCAGAAAATAAGATCCCATTGGCAAATGGCAGTGGCCGATGTTTATCTGTTGTGAAACATCACTCTTGCACCGGGTAAAGCTTGTTTCAGTTAGTTCGCTTTTACTCAGTTAGTTTCCAGCTACAGAATCTTAGAAGAAGCTACTGACTGGACACGACTGACACAGAAGTGCTAAAGGTAATGGCGTGTTTCAGACAAGCGGTTTGTTTACAAATACAACCCCACTCGGATATTGAACAAATAATCACCGCCCTCCTAGATGCAGTGCTTATTCACAGACAAACTGAAACCAACAATGTACATTTTATTACTACTTGACAAGTTTTCTGTTAATGTCTCTCCTGCTCTGATGGTTGTTACTCTTTTTGTTTGACTATGGTCCTGGGAGGTTTTACACCTGTAGTTTTGGTTTGGATCAAACCGAAAGGGCTGAAAGCCCGGACCAAGTGAGGTAGACGAGGTAGTGTGAAAAAGTCCTAGTGAGGATGAATTCTTAGCATAAGAACTATTTTGATTCTGCTATTTCTTTCCTCCAGGGATCCCAACCTACCAGTTCCTCAGGACACCACGTTCATCCACACCAAGCCCAACCGCTTCGAAGAAGTCATCTGGACCAAGTTCAGCTCCAAAGACAAGCAGTACTTACATATCGGCCTGAAGCCTCGCGTCAGAGACAACTACCGGGCCAACAAGGTGGCCTTCTGGCTGGAGCTGGTGCCCCACCTGCACAGCCTCCACAAGGAGGTCATCGGCCCCATCACAACCCGCCTGCCGCCCGGAGGCAACAAAGGCTGGAAGGGCCCCAAAGGCCCCGGTACCGGCACCAAGCACCCCTCAACCGGCATCTCCACCTACCCGCCCGACCCTGAGCCCGACGGTTCGGAGAGACCCCGCTTCTCCCCCTTCCCCGACGAGACGAGGGACTACTCCACGGAGCTGAGCGTGACGGTGGCTGTGGGCGCCTCGCTCCTCTTCCTCAACGTGCTGGCCTTCGCCGCGCTCTACTACAAACGGGATAAGCGCCACGAACTCATGCAGAGACGCCACCGCCGACTGTCCCCGCAGCGCGTCACCACCATGGGCATGGGCATGGGCATGGGCGTCGGCATGGGAGTGGTCGGGGCCCCACCGCACAACGACCTGGCGCTGAGTCAGGAGGAGGAGCTGATGTCGCTGCAGATGAAGCAGCAGAGGGTGGAGCTGGAGCACGGCACGCCCCTCCCGTCCCGCGGCATCCACGGCGACCTGGAACCCCTGCGGCCCCCCGTGTGCCCCCCCCGACTACACGCTGGCCCTGCGGCGGGCCCCGGAGGACGTGCCACTGATGACAGCCAACACCCTCACCATGATCCCCAGCACCATCAGCAGCATGCAGCCCCTCCACCCCTTCAACACTTACCCCCCTGTGCCGGCCCCCTCCACCACACCCGTCCCCAGCCACAGCAACAATGCCCTGCCACACCAACACTCCACCACCCGTGTATAGGACCAGGCACAACCTCTGCTACCCCACTCTGGGCGTACAGAGACACACCACACAAACTGCTCCATACAATCTCCACCCTCACCATTCTCCTTGTCTTTGTCTTTTCTCATTAAGCCCTCAAATAAAGCTGCAGTTTGTAAGATTTTAAGCAGCGAAATACCTCTAAAATGTTATCATAAATCAAAGGTGGGGGGTTGATGAAACACTCTCCTCTGCCAGACGCCTGTCATCGTAGGTACACACTGCTTCCTCGTGTTGAAGCTCCTTCAGTATCTCGTGCTTAGGTGAGCCACAGCTTTAAGCTCTCCTTCTCTCTAAGAGGTATTGAGCTCGTGAATCAGACATCTTACGTGTAGCTCTGTTGTTTTTTTGCGCATGTGTTGTTGTGTCAGTGCAAAACTATGTTTGACATAGAACGCTCACTTCCGTTCATTTAGCGAAAAGATAATACAGTAGCATGCAGCAGCGAGCGAGGCAGCATATGCCCAACAAGCTGTCTGTCATAAAGCGGTGATTTCTTGAAACTTACAAATTGCAGCTTTAAAGGCCCAATCTGGAAGTGGAATTTGGCACCCTGTGTTGAGCACTATGTCCCAACAGCTGTCTCTTTGTTCTGATTTTGGAGACTTTTGTTCAAATTGTATTTGCAGCGCTGGGAGTAAAAGGATGAACTCTTTGACATTTTAAGCATGAGTTGTTCCTTGATTTATAAACCCTTCTGTTATCAAATGTATCTACCTGTTTTCAGTTAGAATGCGGCCGTATTGCCGTCAGAAATATTGTTTTATTTTGATAATCTGTATACTCTCAAATGCTGCTTTCAGAACATTTCCAGATTGGGGCTTCAACTGTTGGGCGGTACAGGAAATAACTGAATCACACTCAGTCTGTGGGACGCAACCTGGAATCCAGGCTGCCCATTAGAACTCGCTGCATCTCCGCCACACAGGCTCTAATCATGTCCATTACTTTATTTGTTTCTCTCTCATTATCTCTCTGTCTGTATCTCCATCTCAGCCCATTAAACCACTTCTCTGTTTTCCGCTGGCTCACACTCTTCCTCTCTCTGCATCTGCCCTCGTAGCTCTTTTTATTAATCCATCCACATAATCCATTTCCACGTCCACTTCTCTCCTCGTTCCTCGCAATCACTTCTAGACTCTGTTTTCCTTTTGGAGTCTTTTATACAAAAACACAAATGTAAATGATGTATTATTAATAAATTGTAAGGATATGAATGAAAAAAAAAAGATATTCTGATATCTCGTTTTTACCAGCATTCTTGGTGCCAAGTACTGTGATAAAGTTCCTCTTTCACTGGCGTCCAGTGGAGCGCCTGGAGAGGTCCATCCTGACTGTATCTTACAAAAGGAATTACCATCATAAAAAGTGCCAACCCCTTCATGTTTCTGTTTGATCCACACACTTTTTTTATTATTATTATTATTATTATTACACTCAATGTTGCACTGTGGCTGGTCCCTTCTTCTTTAAAGGGAAATCAGATTCAATATATCCTTGTTTGAAAAAAAAAAAAAAGTATATAAAGTTTTATTAACTACTTTGCTGTCTGGGATATTTGCATGATGTTTTTTCTTTTCTAAGGAGTGTGGACAGAGACATTTGTTTGCCATTTGAATGATTTGCCTTGTTTTTCATTGAGTTTTTTATTTTGTTTTAATCATTTACATTTTCTATTTTAATATCAGCTGCACTTTGTGGTACTTCAAAAGGGTATTAAAGTATTAAGAGATGAATATTGTGTAAAACTATGATTATATGATATGATTATAACAAAGAGAGTAAATATTTCCTCTTTATTTTTTTCATTTCCTGACACTGAGACTGTGCTGCGAAACTACCAGAAAGATGAAAGCCTTTTTCTCTCTCCCTCTTTTGCTCTGTTTCTCTTTATCTTTTGCAACTGTCAACTCCGCAGTCACTGTCTCTCAATCTCACCTGAAGTCTGAAGATAGCACTTTTTAAGTTACAAAAAAAAAAAAAACTCCGTTACATGAATAGTCTAAATAAGGTTTTTGTCTGTGACTGACATTAACCGAATTCTTCAAAGACTGCCTGACAGTTATCTTTTCGTCTTTTGTTGTTTCATGATTCTCCCTTCTGTGGGGTGGGAGATATATTTATGACCGTCCAAAGGTGAGAAAGCCTTGTACGCGCGTTTCACATCTTTCCGCACAACGAGAGACAGGTCGCACTCTGGACAATTCTGAGGAAAACAAATCCCAGTGACATTAGGACAACACTGGACAAATGCCGGCAGTGATCAATGATATGATCTGTCGATGCACTGAGGATGCGTTCTAAAAAAACCTGATTTAAAATCTTTATTGACAGACATTACTCATACACCATATATCACGAAAGCAAGGCGAGCGGGATGAATTCCCCCCCCGCTCCTTGTTCTGTATCCGGTCTGCTCAGGTCAACAACACTCTGGAGCCAGACTGCCATCCCTCACACTGGACTGGAGCGAGCTGCGAGGACAAAAAGAACAAAAACCAACACATGAAACAAAACTGTACATTTTTTAAGTGTAAGAGAACAAACTGGAATTTGTAAATATTATGTTTGTCGTTTGGTTTGAGTGATTGGCCGGATCTTTTCTTTGTGACAACAGGTGCAAGTTTAGGTGACTAACTTACATGATTTTAGCACTCATGCGTATGTTTGATTCTCCTTTCTTTCCTAGATCTCAAGGGCAAATTCCAATAGTTTATGGGCACAGGAATCTGTTAACATATGTTGATAATGAAAAAAAGAAATCACAGCATGGTTGAGGACAACAAATACTCAAAAAAAGGAATGCTTACAGCTCAGGTTAGCCTAGATTTTGTGGTGATAAAAATGCTCTTACTGGATAATATGCCTGTCTAAAGCATATCACACACATGGCACTATCCCATCAATCATGGAGGCAGCGTTTGAGTCCTTTCATTGGTTGAAAAGCCAAAGAACAGCTGCAGGGAATCGACACAAGACGGGAAAATTGGGATGTTTTGAGGATTGAAACATGAAAATGGGCGCACGTTTTCATATGTGCTCAAAACAAACTACAAATCGAGAATTTTGCTTGTGATGCTGTTGGATTTAATTGTTAATGTCTCACATTGTCTTGAGCATTGTCATAATTGGGAGGTTTTGGAATCCTTTGTACTCTTTTGGTCTTATTTCTGACTCTAATCATGGTGGTTGTTTTTGCTACCTTTTGCAAGTTTCTCTGCACATTCTGTTTATGGGATTATTGAACCTTTTTGATGTTAGTCCAAAAACAGCGTTATAAAAACAGCATTTCTTTTTCTAAACAAGCGTTTGGACAGCCAACAGATAACGGAAGCACACTCACCAAGTTTACATGTTTACACTACAGTTTTGATGTTGGCTTAAGGTAAGGAAAAAAATATATATATTAAAAAAAAAAAAACATTTCAAGGATCCAAATATCTTCTTATTACATTTATTGCTGAAATGGTAAAGTGAAGGCTTGCACCTGTTTGTCTGTTTCATTTAGTCCAATTCAGTAACCTGCTTGAGCTCAAGATACTGTGAGAGAGCATAATGACCAGAAGGAGTTGAAAGAATTAAAGTTAATATTTCTATTTCAAATAGAGGCTATTACACACTGTATGTTGTGTATCTGAACTGGAAAACATTAAAATACATTCTTAAACAAATGCTTTCAACCGTTTGTGTCACAATGTGAGCGATGCAAAAATGAAAACTGCATTTTAAAGCCATGTCGGTGGAAGTACCCCACTATACTGTTGCGCTTTTTGTTGGTTGGATGGATGGTTGGTTGGATGGATGGATGGTTGTTTGGTTGGATGGATGGATGGATGGATGGATGGTTGGTTGGTTGGATGGTTGGTTGGTTGGTTGGTTGGTTGGTTGGATGGATGGATGGATGGATGATTGGTTTTGGTCGGTTGGATGGATGGTTGTTGGATGGATGGATGGATGGATGGTTGGTTGGTTGGTTGGTTGGTTGGTTGGTTGGATGGATGGATGGATGATTGGTTTTGGTTGGTTGGATGGATGGATGGATGGTTGGTTGGTTGGTTGGTTGGTTGGTTGGTTGGTTGGTTGGATGGATGGATGGATGGTTGGATGGTTGGTTGGTTGGATGGATGGATGGTTGGTTGGATGGATGGATGGATGGATGGTTGTTTGGATGGATGGATGGATGGTTGGTTGGATGATGGATGGATGGATGGATAGTTAGTTAGTTAGTTGGATGGATGGATGGATGGATTGGTGGGTGGGTGGGTGGTTGCTCACATTACTTTATTCAATAAGACTTCAAACTAGCGATTGAGGACACAAATTTATTAAGGAAAATGTTTACTGAGGTAATAAACCAAGTGAGAAGTGGGGTCCTCTTTTCAAAAACTTCTATACAATGGTTATTCATTTTACTACCAGTGGAGTTGCAAATGCACTTTTGTCTTGGTTATAACAATTGAAGTAATCCCCCTATAATATAATTTTTTGTATGTGAAATCAATTTGTCAATGTGAGAAATGTCAGATTATAAGAATGTCTATAGTATAATGTTATTACGTACGTTTGTATGTTGTGAACATATCTTGTTATAACATGAAAAACATTTAGTTACTAACATGCTTTTCTTGTTATAATATAATACTAATCTGTGTTTCTTTTTCTAGTGTGGCAGGATTGATGTTGGTTTTTATTGTTTTAAGAGAGAAGATGGCCGCCTAGACGGAGAGAAAGAGGAACCATGGTGTTTGATTGATGTGGGTAAGATTTTAAATCGTCATAAACTGTTTATTTTTTCAGTTTGAAATGTTTTTGCTTACAGCTGGCATTCTAATGTATCCTCAAAATGTCCACAATCCCGTAATTGCATTGTACATAACCAAATATACGGAGTTCTGACTCTCATTCTGTGAGGTTTTAAAGTTATCCAGAGATTTGAATTCCAAAGCTAAAAATAACAGCACCAGTTTTATGAAGGGAACCGACCTCTGGTATGTATTTATTCAGCTTGTGTACACAATAAATCAATATTATGGCAACATACAGGAACTGACTGATGCACTGGGGCTTTTGGATGAAGCATCTGTGCTATTGT